TCCGGCCGTTGGGGCGCGCGCTCCGGCCGTTGGGCGCGCGGGCGGGGGGGCTGATCTTTCTCTTCGCGCTTCCCCTTAGATCCCGCAGGCAAAGGGAGCGAGCGGCCGGTGCCCGGACGTGGTGCAGGAGGAGCCCGCGCGCCGCCCTCCCGGAACTGCGCAGTTTTCCAGGAAACTTAGGATGGCTGCGGAGAGCAGGTGCCCGGCAAAGTGCAGATGGGTGAGACCAGTGCAGCCCTCAGTATCCTAGTTGTGAAATACTGTGCAATATACATTTTTACCACTTGCTTGGCACTGAGTGGTTCACTGGTGTCCTTAGAGAATTCCTTAAGTCAGCAAATAATTGTTTGGGCGGAGGCATCATCTTTTCTGCCGTTTCTTTAGACTGCAGGCTGAAAATGTGAAAAATAAACTCAAATCCTGCCCCAGGATGCACAGCTTGTGCCTCTGTATAATGAATCATCATCTAGTCCTTGACCACACTTTGAAATTTTGAGCATGCTTTGACCAAAAAGCAAACTGATCCTCAAGTGTGACCGTTAGTGGAGAACTGAGTGAGTGACAGACAAACGCTACGTGTCTGATGTCGCTGCCTGAAAAATAGGAATTTGACCCAAGTTGCCCACTTAAGTATAAATTTGCTCTGAGAAGTGACATTACAGTTCAAGTTGCTTGATCATAGAGTTATTTAAATCTCACTTTTTAAACTGATGTCTTCCACACCTTCAACAGAAGCTTCTGATGTTATTTAGCTTCAGGTATTTCTGTGATACTTAGTAGTGTAAGCACATTTTTAAGCACACCACACTAATGAATTAGATTTCATAACATGACAAGGATTTCTTTTCCGTACTGTTGATGGTAATAAGCGAGAGATGATCACTGTCTTGAAAAAGTCACATTGGAAATCTGTGATTATGAACCAAGATCTGTTACCAATTTCTGTCTTAATAGCATGATCTTGCCTTCCTACAATAAATGAATATCATTCTGCAAAATGGTTCTGCAGTCCCTAATCTGACTTCAACTTTGCAATCCTGTGTATACAGCAGTTTATAAACATAATTCTTCGCTGTTATGTTAAATTCATATGTAAAGCTAACAGCACGATGGGGCACAACTACATTCTTAATAACAGATATTCTACTACATTCCTTTGTTCTTCTGTGTTGACTATCTAAAGCTATTAAATCTGAAAAAGCAGGAAAATATTATTTTAGTAATTTAAAAAGCGCACAGAGCACACTCAAAACGCACACAGAAAATTTATACGCTGAATAAAGGAGCCATTTTTATGTGGTCTCTCCTGAAAAAAAAAGCTGCAGTTTAAGGAGTGTGGCCTGAGTTCATATCTAATGTAATCCCATTGGTAGCATTACACCAGGGGTTAATTTGTCTCCAGGAATTTAAGACAGGAACTCATAAAATATAAGTGAAATAAGGGGAAGCTTGACTCACTAAACTAATAATGTTTGAATTTCACACATTGTAAAGATGCATGGGGCGCTGGCACATAAAACATGATAGTTCGTTACTGATTTTTCACTATAAATATGCCTTAAAAATCCTCAAACGGCCCATAAATTATCCTTCCAAAACTGCTGATATAAATTGGAGGCAGCATTTATGTAAAAAATCTACTGAACATGGAGTAGTTACATACTACATGAAGCAGAAGGCAGGTTTTCTTAATGAGTAGTTGTTATCCTTATATTAAATGCCACAGCAAGTGCCTGGTCCTGCTAACTACTTGTTTACAATCTGTATGGAGGGTACAAAAACAGAAGTTTGCTGTAACGTAAGACCATGTGTAAAGCCGCAGTTGTACAAACTGGCCTCCTGGTTTTGAACACCTGTGAATATACTTGCAAAAAGTCACTAAGGGTGATTCTGGACCACCTCTGAGGCTGCCGGCCAGCCCCGGCTCGCCCGCCTGCCGGGACGAAACCTGGGAAGGACAGGCAGCTGCACACACTGAGCAGTACCTGGGATCCAAATGTGCCATGTTATTGTGCCATAGGACATGCCACCACAGCCTGCCTGACAGGCCAGAAGAGAGAAGTTGGTGCTTGCTGATGCATTTTCACAGCCACCTAAATTTTCCGCTCTGTGAGGAGTAGCACAACCTTCCCTTTAGTAATCAGCAAGTGGATCTGCACAGTTAGGCTCATCAACATATGGGATTTAACAGTCCTAGTTTTCTGTTGTGGAAGTTTAGAGATTGACACTTTTTTTTTTTAATGATTAACTCAGTGAAGTATTTGCAAGTGTATTTTTGACAGCACATTTTCTTTTGCTTGTAGGAATGCTTTGTCATTTTAACATACTGATTTCTTGGAATTATTTGCTGAGTAATGTGGTCTTACATTTACGTCTATCTGACTTCTCTCAGGCACTTGATAGGCATGTCTCTGAACAAAGGAAATGCTATCCTGCATTCATGCATAACTTCATGCAGTTTGGCATTCTGTCTCCAGCTGAGGTCAATATTAGATGTAAATTTGTAATAGGAAGATATAACAGATCATTCTGTCAAAAGTTTTTCTCTCTAAGTTCTTAAACATGGTGGTTTATGTATATTCCTTAAATATTTTATCCTCATAAAATTTACTGGCTGCAGGTTTTCTTATTATAATAAGTAACTCATAAGACTTTTTAAAACCTTATTTCATGGCTGATCTCATCTGGCTGAGGAGTTCCCCAGAGCAAATATTACTGGAATAAGAATTATTTCCTTCTCCACCATAGGGCTGAAAGGCCATATATATTTTTATGAAAAGTGGTTAACAGGCAGCAGAGATTTATGTTAAACATACCTACATGTTCAAAAACAATTGAGCATTCTTCTTTTGCCCTCTTCAGAGGTACTTTCATTATGTAACAGTTTTTGCTGCATTGTCTTTACTTCGCATAATATTCTCCCTCTCATGAATACTGTAAAACTCCACAACAGATGCCACTATATCAAAAAAAAACTTCAAAGGAAATTCTTGAAACAAATTTAGCCATTATATACTAATTGCGAATGTGCATTGTAGCAGAAGTGACTCCAGCGCAGTTAGTCTTTGTCATTTTTTAACAGTTTTAGTAGTTAGGGTTGTAAGATTTGTTTTTCTCCTTTGAAATAAAATACACAGATCACAGATTATCTAATATTAATCTGCAAGATAAGTTAATCAAAGAACAAAAAAAATATTTCTTCCATAAAAAAAATGTATTCTTATACTTTTTTTTTTATTTCAGGTATATTTGTAACTGAATAGTTACTGGTTAATCAAGGGCCTGTTAAATGAATTATATATTTCTACATATTTAGGAGAGTAGGCTAATCTGAAATTGTAATGGCAGATGTTTAAGAAATGACATCTGGTGAAAATGGGCCCTGGTGCTTTACTGGTGCACCAGTGTAGCAGGTGCATCAACTGCACTGATAGTTCCCTAGGATTTTGTTGCTGCTGTGGGATAGAAATGGATGATTGAGTCCTCCCCATTTATGTTATCACTTGTATCATGTACTGACATATTTGCCATAACTTCTTATTTATTTTTTAGACATGAGACAGCAAGTGTATTGGTCAGCTTAATCAATCATTTATCAATGTGTCTGTAGTTATATAAACGTATTTACATATATGTTTTTATCTGATCTCATTCCCTCCCTGAAATAATATTTGATCATCTTGACGAATTTAAACCACATTTAAAGACAGGGTATCAAGGTAAAAATGTACATATTAAATATCTTTAACAGTTTAGTTTGGTAAATATAGGCAACAGAGTATAGAAATCCTATTTATATTCAGCTGAATAGAAAGGTTGCAGCAGTAGCTCAGTCCTTAGGTAATGCAGACATTTAAAATGCATCAAGTCCGTGAGAAATTTTAATCAAAGTTCATATCTTAGTACACACCAGAGCATTCAACTAATCACACAGCTCTATAGGGACAACATAATTCATGGAACAGATTCTTTTTATTCTTTCCCATTCTTTTACAGGTTCTGTGCCCTCATTCACTACCAAGACCTGTTCTCACAAAAGATTTCAGGATGAAGGAGGATTTAGAGGCAGGGCAGTATTACCTGGTGACATCAAAAATTGCTGGTTATAAGGTAAAGAAGAATTGGTGACCAGTTATAACTTAAGCCTGTAGTCTTCATG